GCTGGTTCACTGCAACGGTGTCTCCTGGAAACCCTGGGCACCAAATGATCAGGTAATAAAACTCCACAACGAAGGAACACACTTTAATAGGCATGCACTAGCTTCTTTGTATCTCTGGTGAGAAGATGTCTGACCATGACAATATTTTCAAATCATACAATTCTGTTCTACTTGTGTTCCTTATATGAAGTTGCAAAGTTTGATCACAATTAAAGTATTGCTTGAACCTTTTGGAAATAGAGAAGTATATAATTCAGTGTTGTCAGCATAGCGATGAAAATCAAATAAATATTCTCCAAATGAATGATGTTAATGTCTGAAAACTAGTGGATCTAGGATAGAACCCTGTGGATCTCCGTTTTCCATATGAAATGTTTGTAAATAATATTTGTGAGTCATTTGGCAATTTTGCTTGAAAGATGTTGATGGACCGCTAAGATTATTTCCTAATTAAAGGTGGGGTATGTAATTTATTTCAGAAACACTTTTTGTTATATTCCATGGTATGCTCTTAACATCTCGATAGCAATGAATATATTAAATGCTTTGACAATAAATACATAAAGAAATGTAAAAAGCACGACCAATCATTTTAGCCGGCCCGGCTAAAATAACTGGATGGCCTATCTGCCTGTCAGCCTTCCATCTGTGCACAAACTTATCTCGTGCCCTCATTGGTCATGTGCGCGTTCGTGTGTGTTGGAGATTTTCAAATTCTAGCGCACTCGAGCTGGTTTCTCCAAAATTACATACCCCACCTTTAAATGAATTAAATGTTTATCTACAAATGACAACATATTTGCCCCTTTCACACAGATGATGAGTGGTCAGAAGTGTCCTCAGGGCTGGACCTTTCACAGTGGCCACTGCTACAGCCTCAGCACTGAGCACAAGGTCACATGGAGCGCAGCCAACAGGGCCTGCAGGGAGAGGTATGATCAGTGTGTTCATGGAAAACCTTCAGAGAAAATGAGGCCTAGAGCGTGCATATACATGCTTCTGATAAGTTGTCTGTCACACATAAAAACGATATAATTTGAATTGTATGCACTATCCTTTAGAATACACAACTCTCCCACTTGTATTTTTTATTACAGATATAAAAGCACTCTAGCAAGCGTTCTCTCTAAATTGGACATGGACTGGCTTTGGGACTTTGGAGGAAGGAAACCATTTTGGATTGGTGGGTATCTTTTGATCACTTGATGCTACACTAGAGCTGGGCAATATATCAATAATATATATATCCTGATATAAGACTTGTCATAGGTTCCTGATATCATTATATGGAATGAAGTGTTGTACTTTCCTGGTTGTCTTTATATCTACATTTCGAATGGTTATTTATTGGAAATCTCATTGTAAACATATTTTAATGAAAGCACCAGTAGTCAACAATAAAGTTGTCCTATTTCTATTGAGGTATTTGGTCAAACATATTGTGTTTTTGAAATTTGAAATACTCCATATTGATTAGCCCTATGCTACACATAAATCTTTCGTTCTCCTAGTTTTTTTCATTTTAGAGCACACTGAAAAAACTGAAACGCTGACTTTAATTAAATGTATTATGTCAACAGATTCCACATACATGTATTAGGTTAGTTGAAAGCAATAATATAGGTTTAAATACAAATTGAGGTTTAACTTAATATTATTGCTTTCACCTAACCTAATTCAATTTTTTTGGAATCTGTTGACATAATACATTTAATTAAAATCAACGTTCAAGTTTTTCAGAGCATAATTGAAACCCTCTAACTGGCTGTTTCTGTCCTTCTGTTTCAGGCCTGAATGACAGGGAAGGCCGAGGGCGCTGGGAGTGGGCGGGGGGAGAGCCGCTCAGCTACACCAGCTGGAGAAAGACCCCCCCTCGGTCCAAAATGAAGGGAAACAAAAAGTGCATCCTGGTGGGGAGAAGGGCAAAGTGGCAGATCAGGGACTGCAAGACGGGCAGAGGTCATCGCTTTGTGTGCTCCAAAAGAACTTGATCCTACAGTGTGTGCAGCATCACAGCCATGAGCCACTGTGGTGTTTCAGAAGGGGAAGGACTGATCCTCGGGACATTTAAACTGCAATACCAGAGGGAACTTTCCTGTGTAACGTGCTACACTAAGAGACATTGTTTACACGGCATCTATTCAAATTAACCATTGAACGTGTTGTTATAAACAGTATGAAAAGCTCACAAGACGTTTTTTTTTAAATGTATTCAGTCTATTTTCAAGACTTGCTGACTCCAAAATATAAGTTTGTGCTGTGGGAACAAAGAACAACAGAATACAGACATGGACAAAACATCCACTTTGTGAAATTCTGTCTTTGTTTCAATATTATTTGACAGTATGAAGATTAGCTTTAGCTCTTAATTTCTCTAAAGATTATGTCAAACCTCATTCTTTTATTCAGAGATGTGTTTACTGAATTTGGCAGTGTGACCAGAAAAAAACCTCAGAATAAATGTCAAAATCAAATCATAGTTGATTGTATAAATCAAGCTATCGTGGATTTTCTTTCGTTTGAATTCATGTGTTTTAAAGGGGTCTAATGTTACAGTTTAAAACAGTTAAAAACAATCCCTACAGTATTGACAAGAAAAATAAAATCTGTATTGTAACATTTTCTTTCTCAATTCTTTTTTCGGATCTGTAAGTGTCATTGTGAACATTACTCCAAAAATATCTTAATTATAGAGACCATGCTACTTCTCAGTCTAACAGTATGTCATTGTTTATGATAATCCTTCCATCATTAGGTACAGTGAAACAATATTAAATGTTGACATGCCTTCACGGTTGAAAGCTGGTTTTTCCCTTTTTGAGAATTCAACATGCTATTTAGAGCTGGTGGAGTTGGTCCTGTGAACCACAAGCAGCAATGTGATTATCCCCATCATGTGATCTACCACGGCAGTATGAAAGAGGGCCTTTTATCTGAGCTCTGAGCAGCTCTCAGAGGGTTGCATGCAGCCAATACACACAGCCTCTTCAGCTCGGTAAGTCAAGCTTCAACTTAACAGATTTATACGTGATGAATGTGCATGCTGAGGATAGATTTAAACGTTAGTGTTTTACAGACTACCCGGACAAACTAAAATATTTGTGCATTTTATGATAATGGAAACATGTTATGGTTGATTAATTGATCAAAATGTGTTCCTAACAGATGCATTTTGTACGGCAGTTAGAGGAAAGTCTTTGAAACTTTTAGGATTCTCCACCTTTTTATGGAATGCATTAGTTTGCTGGTAAGAAACAATATAGTTGCAAGCTCACTTACTCTACAGTGTCGAAGGTATGGGCCGTGACTAAAATAAGTTATACTTTTACTATACTGAATTGAAAAATTAAGAGCTTTTTTAAGCATGGAGACATGTCACAGAAGAAGCTCAAAATACTAATATGATCCTGAAAATGAGCAGAATAGGGCCCTTTAATATTGTAAGGAAAGCTGTAACATGGTTCCACATCTCTTGAATACCATGCAGCAGTTATTTGCTTGGAAATCTTTTGCTGTGTTATTGTATGTGAGTGCATTGATTATGTTTTAATATTGTTATGTGAACCCTCTGTACTTTATACAAAGAGCAACCCTAGTTTAATTTATATTCACCTAAATGTCAGTCCCAGCATTTACTCCATAGTAACATCCTTAATACATTTTAGATGAAAGAGGCCTTCAGGTGACGTAGCACACCCTGTGGCTGCAGTTTAAGAGGTCAACATGCTCCGTCGAATGCTTGGTGTCTCCCCCCCTTCCAGTCTTTACACTAATACACAGCTCAAAATCCAGCTGTGTATCTACAGTATCTTCTATGTTACTGTTGGAAAAAAAGTATTTTCACAAAAAATGTAATAGTATTCATTTTATTTCAGAAAAACCCACCTCTCATCTATAATATATCATGTAATATATATAAATGTGATGTGTAATATATTAAAGTAATTAAGAAACATTTTGTTTAAAATTGCATTACTAAAGCGGTTTTAAAAATACTATAGAAGTATTTTTCAGATTGGAACATAATGTTAACATTCTCTTTACAAGCCAATCCCCCCAATAGTTTCTAACTGATCTCTTAAAATGACCCTATTTTGCTTTTCGGTCTATTCTCTTTCCCTTTAGGGCTCTTTAAAGTAGAGACACTACATACTGATACACACCTGGACATCAGCAGGAGAGGACTCTTTAAAGTAGAGACACTACATACTGACATACACCTGAAAATCAGCAGGAGAGGACTCTTTAAAGTAGAGACACTACATACTGATATGCACCTGAACATCAGCAGGAGAGGACTCTTTAAAGTAGAGACACTACATACTGATATACACCTGAATATCAGCAGGAGAGGACTCTTTAAAGTAGAGACACTACATACTGATATACACCTGAACATCAGCAGGAGAGGACTCTTTAAAGTAGAGACACTACATACTGATATACACCTGAACATCAGCAGGAGAGGACTCTTTAAAGTAGAGACACTACATACTGATATACACCTGAACATCAGCAGGACAGGACTCTTTAAAGTAGAGACACTACATACTGATATACACCTGAACATCAGCAGTATAGGGCCCCTTTAATATTGTAAGGAAAGTTGTACGATAATTCCACATGTGTTGAATGCCCATATGCAGCAGTTATTTGCCTTGAAATGCTGTGCTGTGTTATTGTATGTGAGTGCATTGAATAGGTTGTAATATTGTTATGTTAACCCTTTGTACAGTGCATTTGTAAATGCAGCATGCTGTAAGCCTTTAGACTAAAATATGTCATTTGTTCTACTCACATTTGTTCTACTCATCTAATAATGACATCAAACCAACATATCTTCACTTTCTGTATCATCAGACTGTGAGTCATTCCTCTCTACTAACATCCATTGTTATGTTGTTTATCCAAGGTCTTATCATGACATAATCATCGGACTCTCCTAATCTCTATCAAAGCGAGAGGAGAGGAACTGGAGAGGGTTCCCTGCTGAGGGTTCTTGTCATGGATCCTAACGCCTCAGGCCAGAGCAGCCAGCCCCCCTCCAGCTTCCAGTGGCTTTCCTTTGCTTACCAGGCGCTGACAGAGATCCCATATGAAGCCATCCTCCCACAGACAGACACCCTGGAGGTGCTGGACCTGAGCTTCAACCTGCTGGATGAGTATCCTTTTATAACAAGCAGAGGCTGTAAGAGCAGAGAACCCCTCCCTGTTCCTTTGTCCCCCCTCTGTCTGCGACCTCACCAATGATCACTGCACTGCTCTGCTTTACAGGAAACCATGCTTCACTGGGAATCATTTGTAGAAAAACACGTTTTACACAAGACAGTAGTGGAATGTTACTAGGTAAATTTACTCAATTACTTTAAGTTCAATTTTGAGGTACTTGTACTTCACTTGAGTATTTTCATGTTATGCTACTCTATACTTTTACCTTACTACATTTAGAGGCTACATTTTACTCAATTGTTTCCACTTATTTAGTTACTAGCTACTTTATATGGAAAGCCACACTGCTGGTAGCAACCTGCGCAGTGTGAGTGTGTTGTCCTTCATTCAGTGTGTATTGGAACCCGGCTCTGCTGGGGCAGCTGGAGAAGCTGAGCACTCTGATCCTGGACTGCAACAACTACACCTCCCACATCAAGTTCCCCTTTATGGCCAGCGTCACAACCGTGTGCATCAACAAGAACAACATCAACAACCTGCCCGTGTTCGTGGAGGAAATCCGGAGGAAGTTCCCCAACATCAAGTGAGCCTGGAACCCTGTTTCAATACCGGGAGGTTTCATTCCTCGCCATATTCTGATTCCATATCTCTCTCCCCCAGGATCCTCAGCATGATGAACAACGAGGCAGCACCGAGCTATTTCAATGGAGGAAGTCTGAACCAGTACACAGACTACAGGTGAGCATAGGCCCTTTTTACCAGTGTTGTAAGAAGTACCCACATCTTATACTCTAGTAAAAGTACACATACCACAGTGTAGAAATACTGTTACAAGTAAAGGTCCTGCATTCAAAATGATACTTAAAGGTTTCCTCTCATGCTGTTTTTAGGCATATATTATGGGCCTCAGATATATATAAAAATATATAAAACATGTCTATGAAGTGTTTTGCTCAAAATACCAAACAGATCACCCATTCTAGCATGCCTCATACCCCTCTATTTCAGCCCTGTTACTAAAGTGCTGATTCTGGGTCCGTAGCTTTAAAAAACAAAAAAAAGGGGGTGGGAGCTAAATGCTGCCGTGATGACACGCCATATCATGTTTCAAACCACATCAAGGATTATTTCTGAAACAGTATGGAGCTCAAATGCTTTCTCTCCCGTGGGTTTACCACAAGGTGAGTTCCTTTTTTTATTTCCTGCTTTTTTACACATACTCTCTCCAGTACAGGTTAGCTCTGATTGTTAGCTATGCTTGCTAATGTAAACACAGACCATATTACGTCCAAAACGTTGTGCATTGTTTCTGATACAGCGACGTTTGTGATAGTGCCATGGGTCCACATTTCAGATATTACGTCATATCGGCAGCTAATCTGGATCAGCTCCGTTGTTCCCCCGTTTTTAGAGATTTGGGTAAGGAGGAAAAGAGAGGGGGTTTTATTTTCTGACACTTTGTGAGTCTCCTTAATAATAATAATAATAAATAATAAATTATATTTAGCGCCTTTCAAGGGACCCAAGGTTGCTGTACATGGTGGACAAACAAAACAAACAGACAATCAAAGGGCAAACAAAAAATAAAGGAAGCCGGGGGACCAAGAAAGGGCTAGGGCCCGAGGGCCAGGGTGAACAGGTGTGTTTTTAATGATGATTTGAAGATGTCCAGGGAGGCAGCATTACGGATCTCGGCAGGAAGTGCATTCCAGAGGGTGGGGGCCGCAACACTGAACGCCCTGTCACCAACAGTTCGGAGGCGAGAGCGGGGGATGGAGAGCAGGCCCGTGTCGGAGGACCGCAGACTCCGAGAAGGGGTGTAGGGATGGAGGAGGTCCAATAAGTACTGGGGGGCGAGGGTATGGAGGGACTTGTACGTGAGGAGGAGTGTTTTATAGTGAATCCGGGACTTGACCGGCAGCCAGTGGAGGTGGATGAGGGTGGGGGTGATATGTTGCCATGGCTTGGTGCGAGTGAGAAGCCTGGCGGCAGAGTTCTGGACGTATTGGAGCCTGTCCAGGGTTTTGCTGGGAACCCCGGACAGGTCTCCATTGCAGTAGTCCAGACGGGATGTGATGAAGGCGTGTACAAGTGTTTCTGCCACAGAGTCAGAGAGTGAAGTCTGGCAATGTTTTTGAGATGGTAGAAGGCGGATTTGGTAACAGATTTGATGTGCGCCTGGAAAGAGAGGGCGGTGTCCAGGATGACTCCCAGGTTGCGGACTTCAGTGGACGGGGAGATGGAGCAGCCGTCAATGGAGAGAAGCAGGTCTCCAACCTTCTGGAGCTGCGCCTTGGGAGCCACAATCATGAGCTCTGTTTTATTGCTGTTGATTTTGAGCAGGTTTGATGACATCAATCAATCAATCAATCAATCAATCAATCAATCAATCAATCAATGTTTATTTATATAGCCCAATATCAAAAATGTTACATTTGTCTCAGTGGACTTCACAGTTTGTACAGAATATCAGTATGACAATACGTCACCCTCTGTCCTTAGACCCTCACATCGTACAAGGAAACACTTCCAGAGAAAACCCACAGTTTAAAGGGGACATGGGAGAAACCTCTGGGAGAGCAACAGAGGAGGGATCCCTCTCCCAGGACGGACAGACGTGCAATAGATGCCGTGTGTAAATTGAAAAGATAATACATTTACAACATAGGTAGTCCAAATGTTTGGAAATGCATGTGTCTATAATAAGAAGATGAATCCACGAGGATATCCATCCAGGACTTATGATCCAGGACCACAGCAACAGGCACAGCCACGACTCAAGATCCAGGGCTCGCGATCCAGGACTCAGGACCACAGCAACAGGATCAGCCATGACTCCGGATCCTGGCGTAGATAGACACCAAAAATAAATTTGGGGAAGCTGGGTTATTCGGAACATGAGAGTAAACAGGTACAGACAGAGAGAAGGAAGAAGTAAGGTGTCCCCCGACAGTCTAAGCCTATAGCAGCAAAACTAGGGGCTGAATCTAATCAGCCCTAACTATAAGCTTTATCAAAAAGGAAGGTCTTAAGCGCACTCTTAAAAACGGATAGGGTGTCTGCCGCCCGAACACAAACTGGAAGCTGATTCCACAAATGTGGAGCTTGATAAGAAAAGGCTCTGGCTCCCATTGTACTTAATCCAGTTTTTTATGTCCTGTAGGCAGTTGACAAGGGATTGAGGGGGGAGCTGAGTGGACGGTTTGGTGCAGAGATAGAGCTGTGTGTCATCAGCATAAGAGTGAAAGCTGAGACCATGTTGGCGGATGATTTGACCAAGTGGGAGCATGCAGATGGTGATTAGGAGGGGTCCAAGCACAGAGCCTTGAGGTACACCTTGGTTGACTGGGGCCGGAGGGGAGCTGCAGTCACTGATGGTGACAAAGTGTTTCCTGTTAGAGAGGTAGGACTCGAACCAGGCAAGAGCTGTGTCACTGAGGCCAAGGCAGCTGAGGAGGATGGTATGGGATATGGTATTGAAGGCTGCAGAGAGGTCCAGGAGGATGAGAATGCTGATGAGGCCAGAATCAGATGTGATGAGGAGGTTGTTTGTGATTTTAATGAGGGCAGTCTCTGTGCTGTGGTGGGGTCTGAAGCCAGACTGAAGGGGTTCATAGAGCTCATGGTATGACATGTGGTGTTGCAGTTGTGCGGCAACTGCTCTTTCCAAGATGTTAATGAGGAATGGAAGGTTTGAGATCGGCCGGTGGTTGTTCAGGTCCTCCGAACACCGGGGACACATATTTATGTATAAAAGACATAAACAAGTGCATTTTGAATGATAGGAGACCTTTAAGTAAAGGTACGAAAGTATAAGCAGTGAAATATACTTAAGTTCCTGACCTAAAAGTACTCTTCATTCAAAGTGGCATTTTTTTTAATAATACACATTCAACAAGTCTTCCAACTCATACGACCAAATAGATCGATTGTTCAAGCCCTTATTACGACCAAATAGGTCGATTGTTCAAGCGCTTATTACGACCTATAATCACGTTTTAAAGTTTTCGACCTCTAGTGCTCCCGTTGAATGCAAACGCTACGGAGGGTCGTATATTCACAAAAAACCTTCTCTGTAAAATCCTAAATTGTAGGATAGTTTGGCCATTAAAATGCTTTTGGATTAGATTTCTAGCGAGAAGTGTATATTGTACTTTCAGAATCTACGTCCAGTGGATGTGTAGGATCTATAGTTTGATAGATATTACGAAGATGATTTGAGGTCTCGCCAGGAGAACGTGTAACAGCAGCGTCCATGTAAAATTAGCGTCAACCCTCACGGGGTGAAAACAGTATTTCCGGTCTCGAAGTTTTCATAATAAAACCGTATTCCCCTCACTGTCAAATGATTTTAAAGCTATATCTGCAGTACTCATCCACTAAAAACTTCAGTTTATCCTTGTTAATTACACAACATTAATTGGTTTAAATTGTGTACAATACTTTTGTGTTTTTCCCATAGGTTTTTCCCTTTCGATTCTGAGAGACACATTTCTTTTTTCAGAGGTTTTGATAGGCTAAAACATCGAACTTGAAGCTCTGTGATTGGATGTTTTAGCCACAATGCACGTTGGGATATGGTGTTTATGCGATATGAAATCCGAAAACATAAAAAAAAAAATAATAATACTTTATTCCGACTGTGCTTGCTTTTCTCTTTGGAAGTCATCACATAACGGCATTGTAATACACGGTTCGGCTGCATTAAATATTACACATCTGCCGTAGTTCTTTATTTATAGAGCCCTGATTAGAAGACTTCTGGACAAACTGGAAGAAGTGCCGCCAAAACTGAATACGTGACGTGGATCATAAATATATCAGCAATTAAACAACATCTTCCATTTCTTTTCACACAATACGTCTCCTTGCAGTATCAATACTAATTCGGCTGACTTTTATATTTGATCCAATTGGTAGATAGGCTGTATTTACACCATAACGGTGCACATCTGATAGACAGGGACTTGTAGTTTTTATAGATATTACTGATTTTCTTTGAATACAAGAATGTAAATACTGAGTTGAGAGAATAGTCAGGGGTTTTGGGTGATGCGAGACACATCTATGGAATCACAATTTCAATAGCTTACCATTAAATGACGGATATACCTTTCTGTCTGTGATGTTTTACAAATCAGATATTAATGTGTATACACATTAATATCTGATATATTACATTATATATATGATATATGATATATGATATATATATATATACATTATCAGCTATAATATTTCTAATATTGTAGTTCTATAGAACTACAATATGCGAAATATTATAGCAATATGCTGTACAATTATGTGAAAACATGAATAAAACTACACATCTTCAGATGTTATACATACATAAGTGTCCTACACTAATAATACAAAGTTATTATGGCATTGTATGCTGTGTGTTATTTGTAACATCTTCAGAAACTACCTTTCCAACTCCTCATGCAGTTGACTGTTACAGGTCTATACAGGTTCATGGTACAATGCATAAGCTTCAAATCGAGAGACTGAAACTGTATTTTTCTTTATCGTTTTAATTTCACAATAAAGTTAATAGTAATATTAGGTTTGATATTATTATGTTTTATTAACTAGACCACTGGTTTTTTAACCCGCACCGCCTAGTGGATAAAGCATGTTATTGAATTTTGTTGTTGAATATGTTATATTTGATGAAAGAATTTAAATATTAAGAGTAGCCTACATACAAAATAGGGGGAAAGTAGAAGGTCAATGAT